CCTTCCCTTTAATTTACCCAATTTATACCCATTGTTTCATGTTTTATCTTGTGTTGAAAGTTTTGTTCACCTCATCCAAAACTGTTGTAACATATCACCTCACCCAAATGCGGGTATATAAGATGAAAGCTGTTTAAATGATAGCATAGAACTCTGTTTAGTGTTTACAGGTTATAGTTGTGTGTATGTAAACTAAAGTCTTTGAAAATGTAATAAGTTATTACGAAACGCGTTCAAGTGTCGCGTCAGACTAGAAATAATAATGAATTTTGGAGAATTGATTTTTCAATTACCATCGACAGTCACAAGAAACATAAGAAATATTGAGAAAATTCATGTTAGAATTATTAATCTTACTTTTTCGGTCATATTTAATAATATATGTTTACAAGAAAGACTGCTACCAAAATATACTAATATATATATATATATATATATATATATATATATATATATATATATATATATATATATATATATATAATGTCGTACCTAGTAGCCAGAACGCACTTCTCAGCCTACTATGCAAGGCCCAATTTGCCTAATAAGCCAAGTTTTCCTGAAATAATATATGTTCTCTAATTTTTTTCTTATGAAATGATAAAGCTACCCATTTCTTTATGTATGAGGTAAATTTTTTTTTATTGGAATTAAAATTAACGTAGATATATGACCGAACCTAACCAACCCTACGGCTTTTTAGGTAGCCGAAAAAGTTAGGTTAGGTAGGTTAGGTAGCCGAAAAACAATTAATTCATGAAAACTTGGCTTATTAGGCAAATCGGGCCTTGCATTTTTCTTGAGATGATTTCGGGGCTTTAGTGTCCCCCCGCGGCCCGGTCCTCGACCAGGCCTCCACCCCCAGGAAGCAGCCCGTGACAGCTGACTAACACCCAGGTACCTATTTTACTGCTAGGTAACAGGGGCATAGGATGAAAGAAACTCTGCCCATTGTTTCTCGCCGGCGCCCGGGATCGAACCCGGGACCACAGGATCACAAGTCCAGCGTGCTGTCCGCTCGGCCGACCGGCTCCCTATTTAGTAGGGCATAGTAGGCTGAGAAGTGCGTTCTGGCTACTAGGTACGACATATATATATATATATATATATATATATACACACACACACACACACACACACACACACACACACACACACACACACACACACACATATATACACACACATCACACACATATATATACATTATATATATATATATATATATGTCGTACCTAGTAGCCAGAATGCACTTCTCAGCCTACTATGCAAGGCCAAATTTGCCTAATAAGCCAAGTTTTCATGAATTAATTGTTTTTCGACTACCTAACCTACCTAACCTAACCTAACTTTTTCGGCTACCTAACCTAACCTAACCTTTAAAGATAGGTTAGGTTAGGTTAGGTAGGGTTGGTTAGGTTCGGTCATATATCTACGTTAATTTTAACTCCAATAAAAAAAATTGACCTCATCCGTTATGAAATGGGTAGCTTTATCATTTCATAAGAAACAAATTAGAGAAAATATATTAATTTATGAAAACTTGGCTTATTAGGCAAATCAGGCCTTGCATTGTAGGCCGAGAAGTGCGTTCTGGCTACTAGGTACGACATATGTATATATATATATATATATATATATATATATATATATATATATATATATATATATATATATATATATATATATATATATAATGTCGTACCTAGTAGCCAGAATGCACTTCTTGGCCTACTATGCAAGGCCCGATTTGCCTAATAAGCCAAGTTTTCCTGAATTAATATATTTTCTCTAATTTTTTTCTTATGAAATGATAAAGCTACCCATTTCATTATTTATGAGGTCAATTTTTTCTTATTGGAGTTAAAATTACCGTAGATATATGACCGAATCTAACCAACCCTACCTAACCTAACCTAACCTGTCATTATACCTTAGGTTAGGTTAGGTAGCCGAAAAAGTTAGGTTAGGTTAGGTAGTCAAAAACAATTAATTCATGAAAACTTGGCTTATTAGGCAAATCGGGCCTTGCATAGTAGGCTGAGAAGTGCGTTCTGGCTACTAGGTACGACATATATATATATATATACGTATATATATATATATATATATATATATATATATATATATATATATATATATATATATATATATATATATATATATATATATATATATATATATATATATATATATGTCGTACCTAATAGCCAGAATGCACTTGTCAGCCTACTATGCAAGGCCCGATTTGCCTAATAAGCCAAGTTTTCCTGAATTAATATATTTTCTCTAACTTTTTTCTTATGAAATGATAAATCTACCCATTTCATTATGTATGAGGTCAATTTTTTTCATTGGAGTTTAAATTAACGTAGATATATGACCAAACCTAACCAACCCTACCTAACCTAACCTAACCTATCTTTATAGGTTAGGTTAGGTTAGGTAACCCAAAAAGTTAGGTTAGGTTAGGTTAGGTAGGTTAGGTAGTCGAAAAACAATTATTTCATGAAAACTTGGCTTATTAGTCAAATTCGGCTTTGCATAGTAGGCTGATAAGTGAGTTCTGGCTACTAGGTACGACATATATATATATATATATATATATATATATATATATATATATATATATATATATATATATATATATATATATATATATATAATTACGACATTACATATTTATATATATAATGTCGTACCTAGTAGCCAGAACGCACTTTTCAGCCTACTATGCAAGGCCCAATTTGCCTAATAGGCCGAGTGATTTTCTTTATTTTAAATAAGTTGTTTCCAATTGGTTTATTTGAATAATTATTATTATATTATATTAAGAACATAAATTATTGACTTAGTTGTGTTAGTTTTGGTTAGATTAAGATAGGTTAGGTTAGGTTAGGGAGGGTTGGTTAGGTTCGGTCATATATCTACGTTAGTTTTATCTCAAATTAAAAGAACTTAACTCATTCATAATGAAATGAATAGCTTTATCATTTCATAAGAAAAAAATTTAAAATTATTTAAATTCAGGATAACTTGGCTTAGTAGGCAAATTGGGCCTAGCATAGTAGGCCGAGTACTGCTTTCTGGCTACTAGGTACAACATATATATACAGTAATATATATATATATATATATATATATATATATATATATATATATATATATATATATATATATATATATATATATATATATATATATATATATATATATATATATATATATATATATATATATATATATAATATATATATATATGTATATGTACATGTACATACAGTATATTAATGCATGGTTTCTTAATGTTGACCATAAAGTGTTTCTTAGTTTTACAAAGAAAAATTTAATTAAATTTTTCATATTTAGTAGAAAACTATACTGTTACTGTTATCTCTTTGCTTATTTTGTATTTATTTCTTTTTTATTATTATTTCTCGAGGAACAATACATCAGACCCAGTGATCTCACAAATTTGTGAAGTGCACCTTCGTTGAGTCTCACTCTAAGCTACTTTTTCTGTCTCGGTCTTCCTAATTTTTAAAATTATTCTATCTATCATATTATATGTTGTTATTCTTGTATTTTCACATCTAATTTTTTTTTTTATAATCAGTTCCTGACCACAGTATTATTTTTACTATTGAACAGCTTCGCTTTTCACATCCTCCAACTTTTCTACCCCCATTTTAGTGCACTATCTGATAAGTAAATATATTACATTCTTCTTTATGCACTATTCTGATGGTACATTTATATCTTCTAATTTATCTTAATACTCTACCACTAAGATAACATGTTAGCTTTTCCACCGTAATCTTAGTGTGCTGATATGCACACAACTTGCTGTCTCTTCTGCCTTAATCTTGGCATGCTATTCTGAACACAACTTCCTGTCCTGTCTACCTTAATCTTAGTGTGTTATTCCGAGTACAACTTGCTGTCTTTTCTGCCGTAATCGTAGTGTGCTATTCTGAACACAACTTGGCTTTTCTGTCAAATCTTGGTATACAATCCCAAAGGCAACTTGCTGGCATCTCAACATTCACCTTAGTGCATTGTCCCCAGGATAACCACCTGCTAGCTTCCTTATCTTCATCTTAGTACAATTTTCCCCAAAGGGTACTTGCTGACTTCTCCTCAGAACCTAAATTTTTCGTTACTGAAAAGTCAATAAATAAATAGAATAGATGAACATTGCATGCTACTTAATGTCTTTATAGATCATTTGGTATTTATTTAATTTTAGTTATTTAGTAATCAATTCATTTTTATTATGCATTATTGTAATTTTTTAAGTATTTTTCAATTCCAAGTTATCAACATAATCCACAGTTGGTTTGAATAGCATTCAAACTGTTCTATTTTCTACATGACATAATTTAGAAATTAATGGAGAACTTATGGCCTTTAGCTCAACACTATATTTTTGCTGTCTTATTAATTATTTGCCTGGAAGTTTTAATATTTGTACTACCAGATTAAAAATTTTCATGGATTTTAGTAATTTTTTAAAGTTTTTAAAAATTGACTGTACCTCTTTAAAAATATCTGATAACAATTTTCCTTAGCCTTTCTAATTTTATTAATTTTGTTATGTTTCTAGGTGACCTACGTCCCACTGCTCATTGCCATTCATCTATTGTCTATTCAACCTGCTGTTCCACTATGTGTCCTGTGCCTTTCCTTTTCTTGTCCATTTAGTATGTGTACTCACTATTTATGTGAACATCACTGCGGCACGTGTGACTGTGTCGCTCCACATCCAGTGTACTTGTGCTGCCACCAATAACTTAAACAAAATAATTTTCTAACTACGGTACTTAAAATTTAATGAGTTAGTAGTTGTTATTACTGATAAAAAATATATTATTTTTTATATTATATTTTGGACATATTGGTGGTTGTTAAGGTACACTAAGGAGCGACAAAAGCGGTTGAGACTGCGTACCCCGTGAACTATAGCGAACATTACAGTGGCGCTGTCCGTTCCCTTACAGACATCGGAAATTTGCTTCAAGCAAGCGGTTTCATGAAGAACTTTATGCCCCTCGTGGCGGAAAGCGGGCCGGGGAGCGAGGGTAGGCCAGTGTTGCCCTCCCCACTAACAAAGTCACTGATATTACTTTCAGTTTAAACCATGTTATCCCTGTATAGAATATTCACACACAATAGGTTATCCAAAAACTTCACCTTAGTAACACTCCCTCAAGTTAGATAGTGGAATGATTTGCTCAGTTTCTTGTGTGTGAGTATTCACTAGTGGCGCAAAGATTAGTTGTTTTTTTTTGCCAGGGTTCCATGTTGCGGCAAATAGATCCCTCCTTCACCATGGGCTCTGCATGAATATTTAAGTTGCGACGTGACCGCTGATGCTGAGCCTTAGTTAATGCTCCAGTTTGGCCCATTGTCCAGCTCTTGTTACTAGGAGAATGAGCTTTATTGAAACAGTACAAGGTTCCTAGTTTCTGGAATGGTCACCTACTAATTTGTCCTGCACCTCTCAAAAGGGAGGGGTGGGGGACCCTTTAACATTCCCACTTTTTTGTGGAGAACCTCCAGGTCTTGGCCAACCAGTTGTGCACGGCAACATTGCTACCAAATTTTTCTTTGGCTTGCTCCCATGCATGAAATTTTGACTTTGTGGCTGAGGTGGCAAAGAGGCCTACCCAGTACTCCAATTAAGAGCCGAGTCATCTTGGGGTGCTAAGTCTTGCTGTGGGGCAGTCTTATATGGGTAAGGACCCCCCAGCCCCTGCCCCTCACACTCCCATTTAACCTTAAACCTCTAACACTGCCCCACCAACTCCACCCACCCACTGTAGTATCAGCTAGTGACCAATAAACCACTAACATTTCCCACCAAATTACCTGTGCTACAATTACTCTAACTGCATCATTACAATAATACAATTCCCACATTAACATTCCTGTTCATATACAGTAGCAAAATTAATATGTACATATTATGTACTTAATCTTATATAAAACACACTTTGTTTTTATTTTTTTTTATGTAATGCTATAATGATTACATAGCTCTCATTTGATTTTATTGTTTTATAATATTAACATAAAGTTTATGATGGTTATTCTTACATATAACACAGTAGAGGTTACTGCTAATAATGACTTGGCATTTTTAGAGATGAGTGATGAGCATGATCTTGCTGGCATGGGTATGCTCGTGGTGGAATGGTTGTGCTATGGGCAATTTGTGGGTGGGGCAGGTGGGTGGGCGGACTTGGTACCCCTCTGCCTCCATCACTGTCACCACTGTAAAGTATCAGCTTTGGGGATGTCAGTCAATATGACTTTTCTCAACATTTGTACATGAAAGACTTAAAAAAAAATAAGCATTTTCTAACAGGAATTTATACCTACAAACCAGATGCAAATTTTCCTTATAATGTCAACTAAGGAATGATATCCCTGAAGCTGAGGTTTTATGAAGACGGACAAGATGATGAAGTACCACTGCTCAGTTCACATTAATAGAGAACCACTCCCCACAATATGTAGTGAGTGAGGCAGAGGTGAGTGATAAAAGGTATGATATTTGTTTTGTTATCTTTTCCATTATCTTTACTGTGGGCGGTGGTGCATGTGTTTTCTGCTGCCCGCACTAACTCCTGTCTTCTCTTTAGTGGCATTATTCAGGAAAGGAGTCCGCGCTGTCCAATTGGTAGGCCGAACAAGTAGGTAACATCCTTGCGATCGTGATGGTGATGGCCGTGTGATATGCATGTTGCATGTTTATATTTTTTCTCTGAATTTCCATACCCGTGGTGTGTCCTCATCCACAAGTTTCAGGGAGTTCAAGATGAGTTTTCAACGAGTATGGTACAATATGGATTGTGCCCGAATTCTGAGAATTGAGACAGTGAAATGTGCAGTTGCATAAAATATTTTTGTATGTATAAAAGCTTTAAAATAGAAGTCAGATATTTAATAAGTGTTTGTAAAGAAACGAAGTTAAAAAGCACTTAATTTAAGAAATCTCTTAGTTTTCCTACCAACAACTTATATGCTAGCAAAGAATTCTGGGCAGACTTGTTGGAATCCCTGAATCTGGTGATTTATTATCTGCATGGCTCATATTGAGATTACAGCCAGACCTGCCCCACAGTCCATTCACTATCCTATCATGCAGTTCAAAAAAAAATCTAGCGATAATATTTTTTATACAGTATGCGTGCATATTGGCCATGACATAATGAATTCGATCTGTTTTGAGATTTAAATGTATTCCTAGTTTTTAAAGCCGGCGTACAGTATGAGATGCTAAGCATTATGATCTGTATGACCTTATTAATAAAAATAAGATGGTACAGCAACCGAGTTTAGTGCAGACATATCCAAAATATGATAAGTACTGTACAGTACATACAAATTTCTTCTCTTTTTGCCTTCTACTAACCTTCGCTCCTCTCTGTCCTTTTTTTTTTTTTTTGTAAGGTGGAGAGGTTACCTTTATGCCAAGTAAGTCCTCATCACAAATACAGCTCTCTTTTTTCACATTTTTGGTTATAGGCAAGATGATGATTTGTGCAACAGCTGCATGAAGAGAGAATTTTTTAGATGATAGCAGGCCTTCACTGTGCATCATAGCAGGGGCTGCAAGTGTTCTCTGTGCTAGAATGGTATTATATTTTCATTCTCACATGAATGTATTATGATTAGGTGAAACTGTTCTACTAGTCAAATTATGAAATTGTTCAGAATGGATTTCACACTGTGAGAACTTACTCTGTAACCAGTGGCAGGTTGCTGATTTCATCAGTAAGGTGTGCCATAACTTTGCTGCGAAAGAGCAACATGGATAACATGTGGAAATATGTGACTGCTATCCAGGGGCTCCTGTTTATACACTCCTAAAAACCGTAGCAACAGACCACACTGTAGTGGTGCAGGTGTGCATGAAGCCCTAACCTGGGCTCTGGCAGCTGGGGTGCATTTGACACAACATATACTGTACATTAGAATTGTTTCATTAATGAGGTACTTCGAGGGGATTTTCAGCACAGTTAAGGAATGTCTATTTACTTAAAGTCTCTTTAGATTGGTTATTTCTTATTATGTTCAAAGAATTAAGTACTTTGCATAGGCTTTTTATCAGATATCTAATTCTTAAGTTTTTCTGGTTTTCTTCCTCCCTTTAAACTTATTGTATTAATTTTCTCAGTTCAGATACAGTTAGTGACACAGTGTTCACATCTCTGGTAATCATTAGCACTGTACAGGCTTGTTTGCTTTGCTAATTGGGCACATGTTTTTCACATCAGAGTACGAACAATTAGAAATGCTACTTTCTTAGGTGGTCCATGAGAGGGTTGCATCTTCATAGCAAAGAGCCTCATTATCATCCAATTAATTATAAAAAAGAAATAAAAAATATATTGCAACAATGTTGGTAATAATAGTGCTTAAATGGGTTGCCAAACATTTTGCCAGGTGGAACAAAATCAAAGTACACGAGTACATTGCCTACTGAACAAAAGATATACTGACTGTACAATCTGATATTAGTTCACAGACCCCCGTTACTTGCTAGGATCTGACCAGCTGTTATGTACAGTATATTTGTTGGCTAGATATCTTCATGGCATCACCCAATCATAAAAAAAAAGAAAAAAAAATAGAGAGTATATTAAGGGGAAAAAAATAAATAAGTAATTCAAAGATATATCTTGCATGGAAGCAGTAAGGCTATTGCTTCAATGCTTCTCGCTTTCCACATTAACAACCATCAGCCATGAATATGATAGACCCTTGCTCTACACAAATTTGTATTATGTGAATTCAAATATTCATGATGTTGTAATACCAAAATCATAAATGTGCTATGATAGTTACACCTGTACATGGGTTGATGTGTGTGATACAAACAATGGAGATGTTGTTTTGATGCAAAATGAAAAATATCATGCTCTGGTCTCATGATTCTTTGCAATTATCTTGCATTTTACACACGTTTTGGATAATTGTCATGCATCATAATACCTTTCAAGTATTGTGCACTTTATTATGCTGTATATTGTTGGTAGAAAGTATCAATAGATTTTAGCAATGTTATTTTTGGTATTTTATTGGAAGGAGTGGATAAAAGTGCAGTTTTGGAGGTCTTGGGAATGTATGGGAACTTAGTGCATGAGGGTTCTCAAGAACACAGTCTTCCTACAGAGTGCAGGCTTACCATATACAAATTCCATCACACTAGCCATGCTATCTTATTATAAATAATGAAAAAGGAAAAGAAGTAGAGCTTATAATAATGAGAAATAACAAATAGTAGAGGTACCAAGGCTTTAAACAGAATCACAATGATGCAATTTTTATGTCATTCACATACATCTAGGGAGAGGAGGATGATATATTCACATTGGTCTATACATTCATTCAGGTTTTGTTTCCGAGGGATACAAATGTTATGTCATTGACTGTATCTCACTGTTTCTCCACTTTTGAATTTTTTTCTATGTTGTACACAATACACTTTCACTTATCATAAATTAAGTTTAATTTTTTCTACACTTAAATTGTAATTAATATTTTTACACTTAACATAACTTTAACCATTTTTTTAAATATTTACAAACTGTTTTTACCAGTCTATTTTTTGTACACATTAAACAAATCATCTTACATTTTTAATGATAAATGCCAACTAAAATGCACCCTCAAATGTGTATGGATTCTCTACACATTTTATTTATTTATTTCCAAAAATGAATGTAAGTTAATTTATTGCATTATTATATATTATAATAATGCAACAGATTGGCATCATCTGCTGTCATCTTGACAGTTCTCAGTTGCTCTATCGACCACATTTCCTTTTCTTATCTACATAAGTAAACGGTACACAATGCCCTTCCGTAAGTGTTTAGTGTACAACTCTCACAACTCTTACATACACACCAGCTGCCAAAACTGTACTCCCGCATCATGAAATACACATCATCTCCAGTTATTTATATTGTTTTTATTCTATTAGGTTTATGTTTAATTTTTATTTTTCTGATCATATAGTTCATTTTTATTATTAATTGTGTTTTGTATATTTTTATATTCTTATTGTTATTATTATATTTAGTTCTTGTATATTTAGTTCTTGTATATATATATATATATACACTGCACTTCTCGGCTTACTATGCAAGGCCCGATTTGCCTAATATGCGGAGTGATTTTCAATATTTCCAAAATATTGTTACCAAATGGTTTATTTGAATTATTATTACTATATGATATATTGGGAACATAAATTATTGACTTGTGTTTGTTTAGATTAGGTTAAGATAGGTTAGGTTAGGTTAGGTTAGGTTTGGTCATATATCTACATCAGTTTTAACTCAAGTTAAAAAAAATAATGTCATAATGAAATAATAAAATGAAATGGATAGCTTTATCATTTTACAAGAAAAATGAAAAAAAATTTATTAATTCAGAAAAACTTTGCATATTAGGCAAATTGGGCCTTGCATAGTAGGCCAGGTCCTGCATTCTGGCTACTAGGAACAACATATCAATATATATTTTGTACCTAGTAGCCAGAACATAATACTCTGCCTACTATGCAAGGCCCAATTTATCTAATAAGCCAAGTCTTCTTGAATTTCTATATATTCTCATTTTATCTTATAAATAGATAAAACTATCCATTACATTATGTATGACTTCATTTTTTTAAATTGAGTTAAAACTAAGGTAGATATATGACCGAACCTATCCTACTCTACCTAACCTAACCTAACCTAACTTAACCTAATCTAAACTAACATAACTAAGTCAATAATTTATGTTCTTAATATAATACTGTATAGTAATAATATTTAAAATAAACCAATTGGAAACAATTTGTTAAAAATAAAAAAAATCACTCGGCCTAGTAGGCAGATTGGCCCTTGCATAGTAGGCCAAGAAGTGCATTCTGGCTACTAGATACGACATATATATATACAGTATATATATATATATATATATATATATATATATATATATATATATATATATATATATATATATATATATATATATATATATGTCGTACCTATTAGCCAGAACGCACTTCTCAGCCTACTATGCAAGGCCCGATTTGCCTAATAAGCCAAGTTTTCATGAATTAATGTTTTTTCGACTACCTAACCTACCTAACCTAACCTAACCTAACCTAACATTTTCGGCTACCTAACCTAACCTATAAAAGATAGGTTAGGTTAGGTAAGGTTGGTTAGGTTCGGTCATATATCTATATTAATTTTAACTCCAATAAAAAAAAATTGACCTCATACATAATGAAATGGGTAGCTGTATCATTTCATAAGAAAAAAAATAGAGAAAAAATAGTAATTCATGAAAACTTGGCTTATTAGGCAAATCGGGCCTTGCATAGTAGACTGAGAAGTGCGTTCTGGCTACTAGGTACGACATATATATATATATGTATACTGTTTATATGTATTTATGTATGTTTATTTGACTGTGAGCGGAAAGAGCCTGCTTAGGTTCTGAATAATAAGAGCCAAATGCAGTAAATTATTTATTTGAAATATAGTACGTCCATAAGTAACTGTCATGCATAACAACAGGGAATTTTCAAACATACTCAATTTTTTTAAATAGGGATGTAGATAATACCAAAAATTATTTAATTTTTTTTAGACATGTTTTTTTAAATTTTTACATTTTTTACATGTATGCAATTTCTGAAGAAAAATCGCGAAGCCAAATTCATGGCCACCCTCTCAAAATTTTAAGGTGTAGTTAATTTAAAAAATATGAAGATTACATTCCTTCATTCTAAATTCATTATGGTTAAACTCAGGAGCAATGGCAAGTGAAAGACATTAAAAATATATAAATATATATAATATATATATATATATATATATATATATATATATATATATATATATATATATATATATATATATATATATATATATATATATATATATATATATATAAAATTACAGTATTGTGTAATACTGACATGTGGTTTTTGTCTTTTCAGTCTTCTTTCAAAGTGGTTATCAAGATTTTTATTTATTATTGTGTAGCTAATTTATTTTGAATCATATAAATCATGGCCTTTCAAAAAAAGTAAAAAAAAAAAAATTTGCAAATACAGTATACAAGTGTTTGTGTCCAAAATATTCAAACTTGGTTTTACAAAAGTTATCAAGTAACATTAAACTAAAAAATAATTATACAATACAAGAATAGCAGAGAACATCTGCCTTTCATAGCCTGCGATTCCTGGATGATACCCAACACAACATTCATTCTCTCTACAATTCAAATGTCAGAAACTTCATCTTCCAGTGTCACAAGGTGTTTTAGCAGTAAAAAAAAAAAAGATGCTTTTGTCTTTTATATATATATATATATATATATATATATATATATATATATATATATATATATATATATATATATATATATATATATATATATATATATATGTATGTATGTATATATATATATATGTATGTATATATATATCAGATTCAAGCTATGGAAACAAAGGTGCCAAAAAAATATGAATAAGTTTTCTTTTGCAAACAGAATGGTAGACGGAACAGGTTAAGTGAGAAGGTGGTGGAGGCCAAAACCGTCAGTTGATTCACAACGTTTTTTGACAAAGAGTATTGGGAAATGACACCACGAGTGTAGATCTCATCCTGTAACTACATTTGGGTGTAGACTTGGGTAAAATTACACTTAGGTAATTACACACACACACACACACATATACAATATATACATTTGACTAACAAAACTAATTCTTTTTATTTTCATGTACATTACAATACTGTACTAAGACACCTTGTGAATACTTGGTATCCTGTCTAAAATCTCCCTTCTACCCAGACCATCATGTTCACCCAGAGTAATTCCGCCCAATTCCTCTTTGATGTTAGCGTTTATTTTCGTTACTGTTTTTAAATGGTGTATTTTTTATCTACCCATATTTATTATTTTCTGATTGTATTATGATTTCAGTTTTGTTGTTATTATTATAAGTGCAGTTATTATTATTTTTTATTTATTATTGTTACTGGGTATTATTATTATTATTATTATTATTATTTTTATTTTTTATTTTTATTATTATTATTATTTTTACTACTGTGTGGCTGTTAGTTACGCGTATCTTTTCGGTGTATTTGTTTCAGATAAGTCAGATATTGAAACAGAACTCTACCAAGTTACTTACACCCCTCCCGAACTTCCAAAGCGTCTTCTTAACAACTCCAGAGGTACCATAGTTGCTTCTTTCACATTCTTTCACAATGCTGTATCCAACTTTCTGGCTTCATAATTTTGATCCTTGTTAATCTTCTGAGAGCATTAAAGTAGGTACAGTAATTAGTATTTGACTGAGTCCAGTGCAACTTTTCTTAATCAGACTATATTTTAAGTAAATAAGAGTCTTGTAGCTTAATTGACTGTTATGTAATGGTATCTTGAATAAGCGAGCTTTTGGCAGTATTCCTCAGAGGTGCAGTGCTTAGATTTGGTAGGAAGGGGGATTAAGCATCATACTCTACTGGGTACATAAATAATTTTAATCAAATGCAGTGACAAGGATCAGCATAGAAATCAATTCAAATCAGGGTAGTAATATTTTTGTGAATATTAATACTGTGTTATGGTTATCAGTGCATGAAAAAATTCTTTCTTTATACAGTATTGCATTAGTATTAAACACAATCACACACTGTGACATATTATAGTATAACAAATAATTCATTCTTGTAAATATAAAGAAGTGATAAATGTTTATGGATTTCCTGTAAATTCTTATTGGGCAAATAGTTTTATGTAATGAACTTCTAAGTACTGTACTTACTGGGAATGTGGCCATTGTCTGTCTTGCAAGTTTATATAGTACATGAATTAGTGTTACTTGTTAGTGGAAGTGGGTGGGTGGCCAGTGGGCGGGTGGTGGGTAGTAGTGGTATAGTGTATAGGCCCTTAGTTGGGTCTCCTCCATGGCCCACTCCATCAGCCAGTCTTCACCCCTGTTCTACTGGATGGTGGGGTCCCCCTCCACCTGCTGCCTGCCTGACTACACTTCCTCGTAGGGAGGTATTCTAAGTCTTTGGTTACTGACTGTAGGAGTTGTAGTTTCACAATTCTTGCAGCTCTCTTTTTGACGTTGTGTGTAAACTTGACTGTTCATGTGATTGCCTTCAGGTGCTCTTTTGAGCATATAAATGATTACTGTTGGTTTGCATCAGACAAAAGTATTATATTTAATTGTACAAGTACTGTATTATGCATTGTGAGATATGCAATCAGAGGTAAAAGTGTTAGCTGTTTGAATTTTGTTTAACTTCAAATGTAGGTCAACATGTATAGAATAAGCTAGACTGTAGAAGCTGGGGATGCAGCCCGCACACCCCTCTTGTATTAATACTTGAACTCATTTATCCTATTGTCATCCACCATCCTCTTGCTATGTTATTGATGCTGTCATCTTGCAAATGTTCTAGCTTGGGCAGCGACAAAATTATAACAGTGCTATTTAAGTAGTAGGGGGTGTGGGACAATCATGTTGAGATGATTGTATTTTCTTGTTTCATATAATTATAACCACACATAACCCAACACTATTCAACCGATCTTAATGCAGTACTACAGGACAGTTGAGAATAGGCGTGTGTAATGAATGCTGGAAGAGTGGCACCCCCAGCAGGCAGTTATTGGCAATAAGTAAGCAGGAGTGTCTAGGGCAGTGACTCTAGAGCACCAGTGGGTGACATTCCAGGCCAAGCATCTTATATAGCGCATCCTAGCAACACTACATTTTTCTACCTAACAGCATAGAAAATGTACAGCATAATGCATTCTTACGCACATTTTAAGTGCATTTAGTTATAATGTGCAGGATTTCATTTCATGCAGAGGTGAATTCATATCCCAAATGTAAAATGACAAAATGAGAATTGATCATGGATATTATCATGAATATATTGAAAAAGCTCAACCAATTGTTTTTGTGGTCATGTGGCTAATTAGGTTAGATCCTGGTAGAAGAATAGCAATAAAATTTCTAATGCACATCCCTCCCCACAGGCGACAAGATCCCGGTCAGAGATGGAAGTAAGTGTCAATACAAGCCATACCCTCCCTTAACTATAACCCTAATATATTGTTATTTTTATATCCCTACACTCAAATATTTGCAATACCCATATTCCATCCCTTATCTCTGTTATTAATGAACCACAATAACAAAGGAATTTGTCATTTCATTTTACATGCTAATCTCTTAATTTCATAGCTGTTCCTTCTTTACTGTTCCTCGCAGCAATTATTTTTTCCATTTTACAGTAATTCCTCAACTCCACTGTTATTAATATAATCTCCTCAGGTTGATTAGCCTTTCTCATACCCCCTTATTTTATAGTACTAGAAGATTCAACAAACTCTGCCCCATCAGTTTATGCTATGCCTACCAGTATTAGTAAATGTATGTAGCTACCCTTTGCTATGTTTGTTTTAACTGTTTGGCCATACTGTCTTATCACATAATGTAACATTATTATTCATTTTAGCATCCCCCCCAATCCTCCTCCATGGTGACGTGCATGAGCCATTTTGACCACTGCTGTGAAGACTCCCAAAAGTAATGTACTGAAACCTCTTGCATGAGCCAGAAAGTCTGGTGACTTGCTTTTATTGTCTTAGTTACTTACTAGAAAATAGACAAAATAATGTATTCATGATTTCATTTAGATTATTCATGATTGAATATTTACTTCATAAAGTAATTTTTGCCTCATATTTGATAACACAATTGCTTATTGAGCTGTTGATGTTTATGGTGATGATTTAATTTGTAATGCAGCATCAGATGGGATACTGTTATCTAAATTGTAAATTATCCCAGTTTAGTACACAGGAAATGTGAAAGAGAAAGATGGAGAAAATACCTGCGATGACATACTTTGTTAATAATCCCATACTGACAGTTTATTCCAATTTTGTAGTTAATGTTTTGGCTCTAATGAAAAAAGCTAAATATAATAATATACTCGTTGTGATGTGGTACGTCACAGTAGATGCAATAGGTATTCTGGTCTACTTTTTGTCAGATGTCAGAGGAAAATCAGCAGAATTTGGAATCGTGCAACCTTATTGACGTAATTCCAGCATTGGGGTAAAACAAAAAAAAATATTTTTGCCTGATTTGTGTTGTTGGATGTCAAAGTAGATGTGCTGGGTTATTTGGTTCATTTATTTACCTCATATCAGATGACAAGCAAGGAGGGAAACAGTGGAAAGCAGTACTTCACTGGAATACCTGGTGTGTGTCTAGTACATATATAACCATGTAGGTAGCATATATTGCAAGACTTTCAGGCATTTATTAAATCGTCACACAGTGGTAAACACATGTACTGTATAATGTTTTATAATGGGAATAATCTGCTGTTATGATTTAATTCATTTTTCAATTTAACATTATGCTGCCATCCAGGCTGTTTTTACTTTTTTGTACTGTCAAAAACAAAATGTCCTCATATAATATTATGCACTTATTTTTAAAACACAATTTACTCAAAAATTATGGGGATAACTGTAGCTAATGGCATAACCTTTTTGGTCTGTCATTGATGCTATGCTTGAACTTATACACAATTTTAAATGATAATCTGATTTATGAACAAGTTATAATATAATAATAAAATGTTTATTTAGGGAAAGTACATATACTGTATACAAAATGAATTCTATGAAGAATATTGGATTTCTAGATAGATCAAGTATATACCATGCCAAAAGCCACTAATATGCACAGCATTTCGAGCATAAGTTAACCCCTTTCACTGTGGTACTTCTTTCCCTAATTTTCATCTCGTGTCTGATTAATGCTTATTAGTTAATTTTTCATATTTACTTTTGTACAATGTTACATATGTAGTAAGAAAAGCTCTCATCTTTCCAGTTGTGCCATTTAAAAACCAAGTTATAGTTAAAAAAATTATACGTACATTTGAGTCTCCATTTTATAATAAAAATTATGGTTCAAATATGTAAATACTAGCAATAAGTGTTCCCAATGCATAGAATGTCATCATAAATGCCACCAATGAGCATACTTACCAAGGAATGACGATCATTGGTGCGGTGGTCACGGTACTGTGTACGTTTAGGGGTGATCCTGGACGGCATGGGTTCGAATCCTGGCCGGGTCAAAGAGTTCTTAGTGATATATATATATATATATATATATATATATATATATATATATATATATATATATATATATATATATATATATATATATATATATATATAATTTTTTTTTATTTATTTATTTATTTAATTTATTTCAGTTGCATATTAGCTTGTGGACCATTCAAGCTTGTTGAATGGTCTTGCAGCTTGGTCTTGCAGGTTTCATGCCATGTTGGTCTTGCTGGTTTTGGACCATGTTGGTCTTGCTAGCTTGAGGCCAGGCTGGTCTTAGTGGCTCTGGGCTGTGTTGGTCAAACTAACTCCAAATCATGCTAGCAGGCAGTCTCTGATCACCAGGTTGTTTTGCCCTAACAGTTGTGCTAGTTACTGTTGTCCCAGCTGTGTGGTGTAGGTAGGTTGGTTTTTAGCAAACAATTTTTATATGAAGGCATTTCAGGGTGTTTTGGCTGAGGTGGGATTTTAGACTTTGAATGCTTCTTGGCTCCGTTCCATTATGTCCTAGGGGTCTGTTCTTCTGCCCTCTGGTACATCCTTCTCATGGGTAACTCAGTAGCTTCCCATCCCCACCCTGTTCTGTCCTTCCCTATGGAAGCTGGCAGGTAGCAGTTGTTTGCTTCGTTTCATTGGAATTACCAAATTTTCCAATCAGTTTCTTGCTTTTAATAATTTTGACTTTTTGGTGGCCTTTTTGCTTACTTCTGTTGTGGTCTTTGATTCCCAGGCTCCCCTTCATATCTTTGGGTGGGCTGGATACTGGTCCTGGTCCCAGGTGGGTGTTCAAAGGCCTTCAGAGGCTTGGTGTGTTCCCCAAGGCTTGATTTTGGCCAAGTTGTACCTTCTCAGGGGCTCCCTAACAGTAACACTTTTGATCTTTGCAGCGGAGCAGTGTTGTGCAGAATCAAATGCCGAGTTTAAGAGGCAGACAGGTTGGATATGGTGTTTGTTTTGCTTCACTGGTACTTTCTGGGGGGCTTAACTCAGTTTTGGGTCAAACTTCGATCCTCATGTTTTGCATCCTTCTAAACCAGATTCTGGTTCTGGTGTTTGGTAGGTGTGTGCAAGTCCAGAATCCTGGTAGTTGTGTGGGTGTGTGTTGGGTAACAGAGCCTCTGCCCCTGGCAAGCTACTTAGGACAAGCCCAAAAATTAGTTACAGCATTAGTCTCACATTTTTTTGTTTGTAGTTCCCTTAATGATTTGTGTTGAAATCCCTAAAGCTGGTTTTCGTTTACCAATGATGCATATGCCATTTATATTATCCCTATCATGAGAACCTCTGGTGATAGGTTCAGTGTAATGTTCTTCCTTATGGCCTTTAAATTGACACTAGAAGTTTATTCTCTCTAATCTGTTATAATACTTCCAGCCTTCTTTAACCTTCTCTTTTTATAGAACTGTACAATGTTAGTGAGACGTAATTTCCCTATACTAAACTCTTTACACCCTTCTCTGTTGGAGAGTTTTCATTACTTAACTAGGTTGAATTGCATGAATACTAAATAATGTTTTGAGGAAGAATGAACACAATTATTTAATAGTGGTTTTATAAGACAATATGCAGTTGATAACACTGAATGCAACTTGACAAGATGACTCAAAGCCCTCTAGTAAAGGTCTTTCTAATGAGCACTTGAAAATTACACCCATTACAGTCGAAACTACTCACCTCAAAATTAACTCATTATTTTTTAACTGTAAAACTTATTGTTCATATAAAGCATACAATATAAATAAATCCCAGTGATATAATGTTTACCTATAACAACAAAATTAACTGTGTACAGTATTAGTGATTCCAGAAAACCTTCTGTGTAATAAATTGAATTATGATTACTTTTATTAGGTATATTTTTACTGTTTATTGGAGTCCATGATAATTGCCTTTTTTGTGACAGTAATTTCAATGAATGATACAGTATATCTTTGTTCATCAAAGTAATGTTATCCTTTAGACTAACTGTATGGTTTAATATACACATTTATCATCACAATAGCTGGTCTTTACTAAGAATTCTACCATCATTCATTCCTCCTCTTTTATACATAATTCTACTACCATATGCATATTATTTACCAATTTGGGTGCACAGTACTATACTCTGGAATTCTCTTCCCCTATTTCATTAAACATAATCCAGAGCACAAGACAAAAATCAGTCAAACTAATAGTCTGTGTGATCATATTGTGTCTTCAGGTGTACTAAAATGTTTGATTAGTGATTTATCCACATACATTTTATATACAGTAGAACTTCAGTTTACGAATGCTCCACTTTACAAATTTTTTGGCATAGGAGCTCAATTTCTTCGAAAAATTTGACTCGGTTTACGAGCCTTTCCACCTTGGCGAGTTTGTTGATACGTATAGGTTGACCAAGCTCGTGGTTCCTGGTGACACGGGCGAGGCATGCTTCAGTTTACCAGTCCCTCTCGCCTAGTGACGATTGTGCTTGAATTCTTTGTAAAGAATTTTATTGTTTTTGTGCTTTTTTTGGATTCTGAACATAAGAGTAATTATTATATATCATGCCATGGGTCCCAAGAAAGTCAGTGGTAAGGTTCAACCTAAAAAAAACAAATGTGAGGATGGCGATAGAGGAAAAACAAGTGATCATTTGTAAACATGAAAATGGTATGAGGGTTATTGCACTAGCTAGGCTGGATGGTGCTGATGTGGAGGAGTTGGTGGAGGAACACAGCGAAAAACTGACCACCGACGAACTCCTAGCCTTTCACAAGGAGCAGCAACAAAAGACAGCTGAGGAAATTTCTTCAGGGGAGGAGGAGACAGTAAAGGATGTCCCTTCCTCATTAATTAAAAAAAGTGTGCAACATGGGAAGAAATGTAAAGTTTTGCTGAAAAGTGTCGCCCAAATAAAGCTGTAGCAGGCTATTGCATTAACCTTTTTAATGACACTGTGATGTTTCACTACAGACAAGTATTAAAACGTAGGGAAAAGCAAGTAATTACCTAAGTGTAGTTACAGGATGAGAGCTACACTCGTGGTGTCCCGTCTTCCCAGCACTCTTTGTCATATAACGCTTTGAATTTGCTAACGGTTTTGGCCTCCACCATCTTCTCACCTAACTTGTTCCAACCGTCTACCACTCTCTTTACAAAAGTGAATTTTCTTATATTTCTCTGGCAGCTTTGTTTCGTTAGTTTATATCTATGACCTCTTTATTCTTGAAGTTCCGGGTCTCGGGAATTCTTCCCTATCAGTTTCATCAATTCCTGTTATTATTTTGTACGTAGTGAACATATCGCCTCTTTTTTTTTATCTTCTAGTTTTTTTGCATATTTAATGCCTCTAACCTCTCCTCGTAGCTCTTGTCCTTCAGTTCTGGGAACCACTTAGTGGCATGTCTTTGCACCTTTTCCAGTTTGTTGATGTGCTTCTTAAGATATGGGCACCATACAACCGCTGCATATTCCAGCTTTGGTCTAACAAAAGTCGTGAACAATTTCTTTAGTATTTCGCCATCCATGTATTTAAAAGCAATTCTGAAGTTAGAAAGTGTAGCATAGGCTCCTCACACAGTGTTCTTTATGTGGTTCTCAAGTGACAGTTTTCTATCTATAACCCCCTAGATCCCTTTCTTTGTAAGAATTCTTTAAAGATTTCTCACATAATTTATAAGTTGTGTGGGGTCTATGTTCTCCAATTTCACATTCCATAACATGGCATTTATTCACATTAAATTCCATTTGCCAAGTGGTGCTCCATATACTTATTTTGTCCAAGTCTTCTTGAAGGACATGACAATCATCTAGGTTTCTTATCTTCCCTATTATCTTAGCATTACCAGCAAACATGTTCATATAATTTTGTATTCCATCTGGTAGATTGTTTATGTAGACAATGAACATTACCGGTGCTAGAACTGAACCTTGTGGTACTCCACTTGTGACATTCCTTCAATCCAATACACTGCCTCTGATTACAGCCCTCATTTTTCTATCAGTTAGGAAATTTTTCATCCATGTTAGAAACTTACCTGTCACCCGTCCAATATGTTCCAGTTTCCAGAACAATCTCTTATGTGGAACTGTCAAAAGCCTTTTCTGGGGGGAGCCTTACGGCTTCCCGGATCTTACTAGGCTGATATGCTAATGTCAGACCTTGGCATCAGTCATGTGTATGTAGTTCTTATGGGCCTACCGGTGAACACAAACCAGAACCTGGCCCCCTCTAGAGAGGCAAGGGGAGCAATGGCCTATAGAAACCCCCGTGTAAATGGAAGCATTCTAACCTGGTCTGCCATCGACCGGGTTAGACACCCAGAAAGATAGGCGTCCCAAAACAAACCTCTATTCTGGTGAAAATTGCAATCAAAAGCCGAACGAGTGGATAGAACACCCCAAACAAAAACGAGCAAACTAGTATGACGTCACCCGTCGTCGAGCTGCTGTCTTCGCAGCCCCCCTTCCTCCTCAAAAGGGGGCAGGGGTAGCCCCAGACCTACTGCACCAGCGATCCCATGGTGAAACTTCATCTGGACCAACTGCTTTGTTCTTACTTAGCCCCTTGAGCATTTTCTCCACTTCATCTCTAAACACCTGTATGTGCTCTATGTTGTTCTCTGGAATTCTTATTGTCTGGTTCCCTGAAGATTTCATTTTGTACAAACACACTTTGGAACTTTTCGTTTAATGTTTCACACATTTTCTTTTCATTTTCCCGTGAATCTATTTCCCATTTTCAATCTCAGAATATTATCCTTTACCTGACATTTGTTGTTTAGGAATTTATAGAATAGACCTGGTTCTGTTTTACATTTGTTTGCAGTCCCTTTTTTTTAAATTTCTCTCTGCCTCTCTCCTCACTGCCATGTAGTTGTTTCTCGCATCTTTGTATTACTGGTATTTGGGGGTTTGGCCTCTTACTATATTGATTCCATTTGTGTGTCTTTTGGTCTCTGGCCCTCTCGCAATTTCTGTCGAACCAATCCTGTTTTCTAGTTCTGCATCTCTGCTTTGGTATAAATTTTGTTGTGCCTTTATCATATATTTCCCAAAACTTGACACATCTCATTTACTTCAGGTCCTAACAGCAAGTCTTTCCAGTCAAATTCCTTAAAGAAATGTCTGAGTTCCCCATAGTGACCTCTCCTGAAATCGGGCTTTTCAACTGCTTCAACCTCATTTTCTTCCAGATTATAACGCATTGCATACTTTATTCCCAAAAAGACATGGTCACTTTTACCCAAGGGAGATAGGTACTGAATGTCAAATATCTCTCCCTCTTTCCAAAAATGGAACGCCAGACAGCGAGGCCGCGGAGTACACTCCCACAGCTGGGCTACGAAGGCTTCTATAGATTCGTCTATAGACAGATTCTTAATAAGACAAGCGAGCAGAGACCCACAACCAGGTTCTAATGGTATGCCAGTAAAACATAAGAGAGAGAATACCCCAGAGAAGTCATCACTGCCTGATGTTATAATGAAGGGGGACTCCCCCTTCCAAACACTAACACCTCTCCTCCTCTCCCCTTCCTTACTGTCTTCCATACGCTAACAAGAGTCATCAATAAAGGTAAGATATAACTTGTACATACTCCAGTTCAAAATATTTGTAGTATTATGTAAGAATTGTATTTTGAAGTTAGTATTTTTGGGAGTGTGGAACGGATTAATTCAATTTACGTTATTTGTTATGGGAAAATTTGTTTCGGTTTCCGAACCGTCTCCGGGAATGGATTAAATTCATAAACGGAGGTACCACTGTACAGTATATGGAATTGTGGATAGGTCTTCAATCTATTAACCCTTAAATGAGGGCTGGCTGATTCATCTGGTAACAGCAAGGTGAGCTCACAATAATCATTATATAATCAGTTTTATTTTAAGCCAAATTAGAGACCATACTTTTACCATAATTTTGCCACATAAGACTGGTATTTTTTATGATATTTGTCTGTAAGAACATTGATTTTGTATGAAGTTTAGAGGTGAAAGCTGTATGATCATATTGTCTTTGGTCACCTGGGAAGGAAGCGTAGACTGAGGATGGGTCAGCAGCACCTATATTTTGAGCTTTCTGCTTCCTATGATGAATGCTTAGGTTAACAAATCAGATAAAAATCTTCATTGTGAAGTTAATAAAACTAGTAATTGTTTTAATTTTGTTTATTTTATATACTTATAATATTTGTTGTACAGTATGTCATTACTCTTCTGTATATTTTGGACGCATGTCTGTCAGTACGTCTGTTGACTTTGTATTATAATTTTTTTTTGCGTATCTAAGAATTGCATATTCAGGCATTTGAAACTTTGGTATATAATTAAAAATAAAATTAAACAAAATCTATGAAATTACAAACTAAAATGTTTAAAAAGTTATTACAGGACCAACATACCCTAATTTCTCTGTGATAAAACTAAAAACTGTATTATCAATGATGTCACAAATACATTAAAGAAATCTGTTGCTGTTAGCATTTACCACCAACCCATAAGTATGTACAGTGACCTAGATTTATGGTGCATGTTCCTCGTGGGGTAATTCTTATTCAAAACTTTCCTCTTATGTGCTTCTTCTGTAGTCCTTGCATCTTCCCCTCAAGAAAATTATGCTTTCTCACTGTTCATATATGGTGTTGGAAAAGTGAGTCAAGGTACAGTAATAGAGATGTTTTCCTACACTTTTATTAAACAAAATTTGTTGTTTGAATTTTGTAATCATATTCTCTTTTTCCCTTCCATACAATTTTTGATATTTAGATTTTTCTTGCAAATTAATATACTTTTTAAAATATTTCTTCTTGTTTGAAAACTAATGTTTAAGAAAATTCAAGAAAATAAATTATAGGAATGCACACAGATAGAAGCAGTACATTGACCTGATGCCCTATACAGACTGTGAATAATAATAATAATAATAATAATAATAATTTATTTGCAAGAAGGTACAATGAGTTGGTGAGATTACATAAGATTGAATCTCATCAAGTGACTAAAGTTTAAAGTAACCAATTATCAGTTTCATTTCATGCTATAATGTGCTTTAAGATAAAAAAAAGTATAGGCCTCAATGAATGTTTACCCCAAATTGTGCCATGTTCTATAAACCGTCCTCACCATTCATACCATTGTGTTGGTACAGTATTATCTTGGATTATTTTCTTTCAACAAATTACCATACAAGCCATATTTTTGGCTGATTTGCTTCAATATGTGATAAAGCTACTCTAGATAGAGCAGATAACTGTTATCCTAGACTCACTCTTTCACCATCCTGTCATGTTTTGAGAAGTGTGCTCTGAACTTTCCACTAAAGTGTGAAGTGTTGATGATTATTTCATTACCACTGAATAATACACAGAGGGTACTGAAACATTACTATTTTTTATTAACTTAATTGTCACCACTTCACTATTGGTTTGTACTGTGTGTATTGACTAATTTTGTTTGCATCAGTGTGATTTAACATTTGCTGAACAATGCTTTAAATTATTGTAAATATTGTGAAATAGGAATAACAGCAGTGAAGTTAGTATAAATTTAAGAATAGTTTTGTAAATTATTGTCTAGAGCATAAACACTGGTATCATCCTGAAATACTGAATATATGTTTATTTAATTATTAGCAGTTTAAAAGCTTCCTTTATTATTAGTGTTATTTAACCATTGTAAATTTTAGAATTTAGTTTGGAATTTTTATTAGCAAGTAGTGCTGCTGTTTGATCATCTTGGCTGTATATTAAACACCTTCAGTCTTCCCATCCCCCCATTCTACCCATGCTTCACAAAGTCTTTCCATGAACATGTTTCTTTAAAATTCTGCAACTTCATTATATTTTAGTATTTTTTTTTCTAATACATGACCCAATTTTTTTTCCAAAGATTATAATCAACCTCATCCATTTTTTTACACTTTGCATTGCTAACTGCTGCTACATCATTTGTTAAATAAGTTTTCACATTCTTAGTACTGAATGATATTACTGCTGCAATGATCTTATATTCTTAGCATATTGTATATGAATGTCTAGTTAACTCAGAATCTATCAATACAGCTCCCATGAATTCTTAAGATAAAATACCTAACTTGAAAATGGTCAACTGATGTTTCTGTTCTGCAGTTGCAAACCAAAACAGCAGTGGGCAGCCTCTGGTAAATGCAGCCAAGACTTTAGCGGCAGCTAAAAAGAATGGTGGGCGGCCAGCTGATGCTTTAACTTCTCCGAGCCAAGGTTACAACCGGTCAGTGCCTCAGCAGGACAGGTATTTATAACCAGGCATTGCACTCTAGTGAACAATATTTTATATGAATTTTAATTAGCTATAATTCAGGATATTACAAAATTTTATGCATGCAGTTTGAATGGAAGCCTGAATCATTTCAGCTAATATAAATTGAATGGTACTTTACTGATAAGCTACCAGAAGACTTATTTGCAATAGAGTGCAATTGACTGGATAATTTCAAATCAATATTAATGTGTGCAAATCTCATGTGAGGAAACAATAATAAATCATCTTTGAACAAATAACCTCTGGTCAGTTGCTCAGTTTTTCAAAAAGTGTGTAATTAATGACACACCTATTTACACTTTGGTTATTCTCAAATTAAGTTTCTGTAATAGGCAAATTAGTGAACAAATGGCAAATGTTGTTTTGATACAGTTTGTATATAGAAGAAAAGTGTGATAGGTAAGACAATCTAAGTTGTGGGGATGTATCATTGACAAGTGTAGTTGTTAAAACACTGGAAAAAGCAATTAGTATAAAGTCAGGAAAGTATCTTGCAAGAAACAGTTAGTTAACATTTAAACAATTCATATTACATAAGCAAAATATTTTTATATAAAACCTATTTAGCCACTACAGCAATGATGAAAATTATACAGTAAAGAACTTAACGGGTAGATTATATGTACAGGGGCTTCAAATGAGCTTTTTATAATTATTGATAGATGGCCAATTTGGAAACTACAAAATATAGAAGGAATAAAACCAATGTTGAATGTAATGAAACGACAATTTCTGGGTGAATCCCATTCGCTCCCTAAAGCTATGCACTGAGATAATTCCCAACTACCAGGTAGCATCAGCTGTGGAGTTCTTAGGCCTACTGGAAAACCAGAGCCAGAACCTGGCCCCACCGCACATAGGCACAGGAAGTGGTGATATTTTACCACCTCATTGGGAAATGCATCCTGAAAGTCACCAAGCCAAAACAAACCACTGTTGGGTTGAAAAGATACCAAAACCTCAAACCAACCTAATGAACTCTTGCAAATATGTAAACAAACTATTGAATCTCTTGAAACTAGTCCCCAGCAACCAAAGATGGGCCAAGCGTGTAAACATGCATGGAGCCAGATTAAGTCCAGAAGTGAGAACTCGAAAGTAGTAAGCTTGTTACTCCACCACAAAACTTAACTAATCCCTCAACTTCAGAGATCCAATGCATGTTCTGAAGGTCCAGAGAAATCATCCAAGAGTCCTTGAATATGAGATGAACCAGATACAGTGATATTCCAGAACATGGGGGCAAGAGCCCCATTCAGAGCACCAGTTCAACCTAGAAAGGTTGTAGATGAGCCAGATGTTCACTGAATCCCATTTTGGAACTGGGAAGAGGTGGGAAACCGACCAGAGTGACACAGTTGTTTCAACCCGGCCAGAAGCCACCTACTCAGAGATGACTCAATGCAAGTGAGAGGAAGAAGTCTGCCCAGGATGACCCAAACCCCCATAGTGGGGAGGAACTAACCATCTCCACCACGTGCCTTATGAAGTAACCCCCCCCCCCCCAAAAAAAAAAAAATGTGGGACCAGAAGCTAACAAATCTGGCAAGCTGATTCCCTTCACACTGCAACATGAAAGGGCTGGTATGAGCCACAAGAAACTGGTGCCTTCCGTGAAGAGCAACACAATGCTAACCAGATGGACAAGGATTGGCCAGGGAAAGTGCATGTGACCCAGTATCTGGCTCCACAAAACGTCTATCCCAACCCGAGAAAAAGGAAACTCTCTGGAAAGACGAGCTCAAAGGCACAAGGAACCAAATCCTGGAATGAGCTGCACTCAAATCCTACTCATACAGAAAAGAAGAATAAGAAAACCCATCTTCATGCAAAAGGAGACCCTCCTCAGAGGGAACCAGGAACTACTTTGAGTGAAACGAAACCCATGGGTCTATATCAGGTTCCCTGTTCCCCCAATCCCCGGAAGCTACACTTGAGGGCTCAGTAGCAGAGCCAGCATCTGCACCCACAGCCCGGGATAGAAAAGTGGAGCCCAAGGGATAAACTCCAAAAGAGGGGGGGGGGGAAGCTGACTGAAAAGAAAACCCCAAAGCCTCGGCAGGACTAGCTGCATCAACTGCCCAATTTGGAAAGGGCAACCCTGAGGAGCTGGCTGAGCCACATTCCAAGCTAAATCCTGCCCCAACCCAGAAACCTTCAGACTTTTCATGGTCTGAAGCATGGAAGGAAGATTAGAAGAAGGGCAAAACACACCTGAAGGGAAAGGAAGAGGAGATGCAGATAGAGCTAAGGTAGAGTTCACCAACTCCTCCAATTCCAGATCCCTAAACACCAAATGGGACAGCTCCAGGGCATCCAACTGGGCACATAACCTAGACCATAGTAACTAAGCAGTAAGAACTTGTTTAGCAGATGCCACCTGATACACTCTAACTTCATCAGGAGGGTCACATGGGGAGTGACCCTGAGTCCCCCACAGGATTCAAGATTGAAGGTGTCACTGACTCAACAGGCAGCATGGCAAAGACAGAATGAGTGATCATCATCTCATGGCATGAACAGTGAGCAACCCTCATACTTACACAAAAGCAAGAGCAAGTTTGGGGAGGATATCCATAGGCCCACGAACCTACATGAGATTTTCTGGGCCTGGAGGTCAAACCTAGCACGACAATCAGATACTGAGAATCACTGTGCTGGACCTAAAAGTAAGCTGATACAGCATGGATTACATGGATGTCAAGGCTGACTTTGGTGCACTGAAGGGAAGCCTGTGTAGTACCAGTGTGCCCTGACAGCCAAAGTCACACCTGCCCTGGGTTAAGACAGAAGTCACAAGACTCCTGACACACCCTGCATGTGAACCACCACAAGCCAGGAGGAGTCAGGAGAACCACCACAAGCTATGGGAGTGACTCCCAAACATTCCAGATAAGACATTCTGGCAATGCAAGGGCAGCACTAGATAGTACACAGAGAACATAATCCTGAATATATGCAGCTCCATCCACTCTACAAGCCAGGCTCACATTACACTGCAGTGTACAGGAAAAGTCACCAAGGAAAGAAAAACACTTAGCTGAACAGAGGAGCCCACACAGAAGAGAGTGACCCAGGAACCATACAGGAATCAGGTGGTCCCAACCGCATCAGCATAAGAACCAACTGGTTAATCCCTGCACTGCGCACCTGGTTTCGGCAAAAACTTCTTGGTGCAATTGTCAAGGACATATTTTTGTTGTTTTTATAAATACTCAGGTAAAGTTAATGTCAAAATGTTACCAAACTCAATTATTTCCATTTCAAAACACAGAGTAATAAAAACATTAAAAAAAACTTTAAAATATAGCCTAATTAAAAAAATAATGCACAACTCTCAGAGTGCCTAAAGGCGCTTTGCGCAGTGCAGTGGTTAAACTCCTGGAAGAGTTAAGCCCCTTCCCACCTTCCCCTAAACGAGTTTGGGGAGGTGGGGTGAATGAGCTCATGCTAGTTTCATGAGATTCAATTGGTTATTTACATAGTTGGGGGAGTTCATTGAGCAAGTTTTGAGACTTCAGCCTCTTTTTGAACCCCAGCAGTGGTTTGTTTTGACTCGCTAACTTTTTGATGTCTTCTCCTGTGAGGTGGCGAAATGTCACTGCTCCCTGCGCCTCTGTGAAGGGGTCCAGGTTCTGGCTGTGGTCCGCGAATGGCATAAGAACTTCACGGTTGATGTGACCTAATAGATTGGAACCATCTCATTGAATAGCTTCACTGGGGCTGTTATATAGCCACAATGTTTTCTTCCAGAAAAGTGCATATGTGACTGACTTCTATCAAGCTTACCATTAACATTCATGAAACTTTCTACATATTGTTCGGTATAAAGTCTACCAATCAAATTAACCTAAGAATTAACAATACCTAAATTAAAAGCAGAGTATTGTAGATTGGCAATTCCTTGGTGGTCACATTGATGATTTGCTGAATTTCCACTGACATATACAAAAAATAACAAACAAGTTTCTAAAACAGTAATAATTCTCTCCAAAATCAGATAGTCTGTACCTTGCCCTGCCTTAGTAACTCTATTATTCGGTCATCTATCCATATCTCATCTACGGTATACTGCCCAAAATGCTATGCGTGTTAGTGGCTTTGCAAGAATGTAAAGCACAGCCCCACACACTCATCGGTTGCTGATGGCACATGATGAAGCAAAGTGATGCCCAATGTACTATGTATAATGCTAAACAGTAGCCAAAACAGTGCTCCTATCAGAATCCTTGTCAATAAATCCTAAATATGAATAATTTTTCATATGTTCATATTCTATAAGAGCAGGAGGTCCTGTTGCATGATGCATACGCAAACGAAACCACAGTTGTGTGCTATGGCTGTGTGCCTCATGCTGTGAACATCATATCCAGCATTAGTTTCACTGATATCTGAACCTTGTCCAATATTTCCTTCCTGATTTTCAACATTTACACTTATGTTTACTCTACCTGCCAAACACAAGATGAAACTACGACGTTCCTACAACATTCGAATAAGTTGTAACACCTTCTAACAACTTGTAATAACTATCTAACAAGATGGATGTAACAACCTTGTAACAAGTTGTACCAACTTTGTAACAAGTTGTAACAAGATAACAATAGGGACTGTTACATTGTGTGTTTGCAGGGTAATATCCAGTGTTTATGGATTGCAGCTTTTAACAGCCTATGTCCTTTCTTAACATTGGAGGCTTGTTTTAAGCACTCTTCCACCCTCAGAGGTCCATAATCCTGAATATTTAGCATCCATGCAGACATATGCACAAACAGCTAGGTTTGTTTGTGCATAAGTCTCTTACCTCCGAGATGAATACTCTAAAGCCCTTAACTTACCTAGTCTTGTCGCATACTTACTGGGGAGCTGATAGACCCATGCTCCTCTATTTATATTCCATTTTCGTGCTGTCTAAACTTGATTATGGCTGTCCTGCTTACTTGTCTGCTTCTCCTTCGACTCTCCTTCTT